CTGAGTCATGTTGGTAGATGTAGGCTACCTGGTTGGGGTCCGAGAGACGATAGTCACCGATGGTTAGAGACCTAGATCAGTAAGCGACTTTCCTAGTAGAAGGTCAACCCCTGAAAAATTGACGAGCTTAATGTTACTCTAAGAGGATGTCTACGACAAAGTTAAACAAGAATGGAGAGAGTGGACAGCCCTGACGGACACCACTTGATGTTTGAGAATTCAGATGACAGTTCGCCATATACTCTCACCCGACCAGTGGTGTTCGAGTAGAGTGCTTGTATAAGGTTAATGTACTTCTCTGGTACACCTTTCAATGACAGACACTGCCACAGAAGAATCATATCTTCTCTCCCTAATCTTCTCCATTACTGCTTATACTTTTATTATTGCTATCACTCTTGGATTTGAACTGACAGTTGCGTCTCTGTGCTGATAGGGCATGGCAACCTGAACTGATGTACTTACGTACGAAGTTCTGCGTTTTATCTGTCTGTCTGAACTCCGATTGAGATACACTCATTACACTAGATGATAACCAGAATAAATTATATAACTAGTTGTACCTGAGCTGTCGATAGTGTATTTTAAGCGAAGGAAAAAAAAGCCCTCGAACGCCATGGTACGATCGAGAGTGGGAAATTTCCTTTCTTATTTTTTTTCAAAAAATCCTCTCACTTGACCATGCAAATACAGCTACAATGCTACGGAGGTTCCATTCACTAACTCAAAACAAAGATGTTTTCCACGATATTCAGAGGAAGAGCAACTTATATCATACCAGGACTTTAGCTAAGTTAGAGAATATGCGGCACTGATTCAGAGGAGTTGGAAAATCCTCGTTCCAAACTAGTGGTATACATCGGCTTCAGGATCCTGATGGGATGATTAGTATGTGAACTTATTGTTGGTGACAAGCTACCACGAGACAATATCTCCAATGCCTTATGGATTAGACCTGTAGATGAAAGGGTCAAGAAGTAGCCTCCTAAGAAAGTCAGTTGTTTCGGTTTTGGCAACTGGACAGTATCCCAATGCAGTCAAAAATTCGTTGATTTGTGTGGCGCACAAATATTTAGGTGTTCTTTTTGAAAAAAAATGTTTGTGTTTGAATCAATAAAGAGAAGTTAAGCATTTTACCAGGATACTACAAGCGTTCATATGTGTGTTAACTGACCTACTTACTATATTTTTTTCTCAAAGACTAAATCGAAATTATACACAACTATAGATAATAGGATAAAATTTAACCACGATAAAAATTGTGAAATTTCAACTTACACCATTATTTTTAACTAAAGTTTCAAGGAACATTAATAAAAGATCAGCCGATTCCCAATCTACAGGTAATCGATCTTGAATTTCCATGAGTTTTTCATGTAAAAAAGTGAGTACATCAGCTTTTAGAGTACCTATACGATTTAATGGTCCTGGATAAGATTGGTGCTCTGACCGGTTCCAACATGCAGCAGCCATAACACAGGCACGTTTTTCATCACCATCTTCTTCATCAACACCTCCAGCAGTAATACTAGAAGGACTATGAGAATGACTTGGAGTTTGCATTCCAGAATCAGTTATATCATAAAGAGTATTTTGTTCAGATGATTCATGTTGTTGGATAAATTCAGAGTTGCGAGTACGTACAGTGTTATTGTAACTGATCTCTGATGCTCTTCTTGTTGCATCAGCCAAAGCTTCATTGACAAGTTCAAATAGATTGATTATTTCCACTCTAGCAAATTCTCCATCTCGTGGTCTTGATGGTAAAACCTAAAAGAAAGATATTGTTTAGCATTTTTTTTCTAGTTAAATGTGATAACTAACCTGAACAATAACACCAGGACAACCCATCCAAGCTTTGATATGTGGAGTATTGTAAAATCGTGGAGTTTCAGGAATTCCACTTCCAAACAATGGATATGGTTGACCACCAGACCATAATTGTGCAGCTGCAGCATAATATTGAAAATAGTAGTTTGCATAATCAAATGGTGCTGTTTGATTTACAGACGGCATTTGAAATGCCTGAGGTTTATGTTTTATATTAGGATTAAGTGAATGACTTGCAGGAGTTCTTGATGACTTATCCATGGGAAGTTGAATGGCAGATTGTTGTTGTGGTAGAATTGATGGCTGAGGCATTTGATATCCTGGATAAAATTGACTATAGTACTGTGACATCATTTGATACCATTGAACAAAAGGGTTGGATTCTGTTTGTGAAATAAAAAGGTTCTGATTGGAATGAATCTGTAAAACTTCATTGTTATAAGATAATACAGACTAACTGGTATTTAGAAAGTTACGTAATAAACAGTAAACTTAAAATTTCAAGAATATACTTGGGTTGAGATTTTGGATAGGGGTCTTGTTTTAGAAACTGATGAAGCAATAGCTTATTGGTTGAGGTACCCAACTTTTAAAGGTCTAACTCACAGGAGACTGGGTATGATTACTAGTCCATACAGTATGACTCAAATCAAGGTATGTAAACATGGACTTAGTAAATGAGTTGCAATAAATTAAAGCGGTCTTATTTATAAGACAAGTAAAAGGGGATTGTGCGATCGCAGGTATCAGCATAGCATTGAGTGTAGTTCATTACCTAAATACATACTGAATAAAGAAGTCATGACGCCTTTTGAGATCTAATAAATAGACATTTTAATATATTAATTTCCAGTTAATTCCATATGTGGGAGCTACAGAATTTAAGATGAATTAGGAAGACAGCAGACTAACAGTTGACCCTGAGTTTACTGTTATTATTATTATTTAAACACTAAAATTTTAAAAAAGAGCACCTAAATATTTGTGCGCCACACAAATCAACAAATTTCTGACTGAACGGGGATATCGGCCGGCTGTCAAAACCGAAACAACCGACTTTCTTAGGGGACCACTTCTCGAACAATTCACTTACAGATCTGATCCGTAAAGCAGTGGGGCAACATTAGGAGATATAGTCTCATGCTAACCGGTTACCAACGCATACGTTCATACTTCATTCGTTCCATCAGGATCCTGGAACTGACGTATACTAGTGATTTGTAATGATGGTTTTCCAACTCCTCTGTGTCGATGCTTTATATTTACCAACCTGATTTAAGTCCCGGTCTGACGTTCGCTGTTCTTCGTGAACAACACCTTAGTCACGGGAAGGCAGTGAGGAGAACTTCCCTGAAAGTGAATTTATACACACATTGTCATACGAGAGGATTTTTCAAAGGAATAAGAAAGGACTCTTTCCACTCTCAACCATACCAGAGCAGTTTATCGTATATATATATATATATATATATATAAATTAAAAAAAGGAACACACGGAAGAATAAACTATTAATTCTGAGAAGTAACCTTAAAGTTAATTTGAAAAAACAATATGAAATTCAATTGTAAAAACCAACGACAATACATGAAAGTAGAAATCACAAGTCAACCGTTAACTGGAGACTCACGTTGTAGATCTTTGTCAGTTTCATTTGATACTTGATTGTTTTTCTTTGATTTAGATTTGGAATGAACTTTCTGCATACTTCTACTAGAAGTAAGTGTTTGCTGAGGTAACTTGGGTTGCTGAGCTGAACGACTGACTTTCTCTATTTTCGGAAGTATTGTATTGTCGGTTTTCAAAGACCCATCTATCCCCTTAAGTGCATTGTCAACATTATCAGCCAGAAGCTCTGATTTGCAATGAGAACTGGGTGAACTGTTTACAATATTTTTGTTATTTGTAATAGCATTTCCAATTACTGAAGGAGAATTAACGGGGAAATCTATAGACTCCTCAGACTTAATACCTAGTTGAGAGTAGGAATTGGAGGTTGGAAGTGTATTTATAGACATTTGTTCAGTATTCTGGTTTGGGCTGTAGTGCGATGAATTATTAAATGGGTTATGATTATAACCAAAATAGGAACTGTGAAGTTGATCCTGATTTACAGGGTATCCACCATAATACATCATCTGAGGAGGATTCATAACTTGAGGTGTTTCATCCTTATTTCTGCTACTGAGTGAAAGAAATTTTTATAACTACCTTATTTTTTGTCCTTGTTCCATAATTCGTGACGTCGACAGCTTCAAAATCAGCACTTCTATTTCTATATTCAATGTTGGTCTTGGTAGATCAAGGTCATTGTGTACAAACGGCATGCTTCGTAACACAAGCGATTCTGCATATTAAAGTTTCTATGATGATGGAGGCGTTTATAAGCGACATATGGAGAAGGCATAAACATAAATATAAACTGAATACAAATGGAAGACTGCAGCAACAATTTTACAGATATGCCAGAGCTTACGTCACTCCGACTCAAATGATTCATAGAGAAGATTCAGAAATGTTTTCCACGCTTTATACTTACTCACACAGTGTCTGTGAAGATCTAAATCTCCGGGCCCTCAGGCCATAATCACATGAGTTCCAATATCCAATATCTTTTTCACCAGCTAGTGTAAACCAATTTGATTTCTTCGCTCTCGATTCTTGTTCTTTCGGTACGGTTCCAGGTGTTCGGTTTTGTCCAATGGATGGAGGTCTAGCCACTCGACTGTCTAGTTCTAGTCAGTTGGCAGTTGGTTGTGAGTTTGTATGTCTCGGGATTTGAATGAAACGTTTGTTTCAGGGCAGTAGGGTTTCTGGATACCAGCAGCCGTCACATTACCAAACCGGAGATCAGTTAGTTGCAATGTGGAGAGTAATAAGGATAATAAGGATAAAATTCTAATGCTAGTATGAATAAAACTTCAGAACTAAGTAACATATAGATGATTTAGTTTATTAATTGGTAGTGAAGATTGTGAGAGAGGACCGTAGTGTAAGCAAGGGGGAGGAAACAGAGATAATAGGCGAGATAGATTAATTGAGTGATCTGAGGAGATGGCAATGGTAACAACTAGCAGGTCTCAAGATATGCATCAGGCACAGCTTGTCCAAAAGGGAGATGATAATCCGTATGTGAATGCGTGATCATCAAGTCTCTTCTTAAAGCAGTCCACTGAGGGGGCTGTAACTACCTCGGCTGGGAGAGCATTCCAAGTTGCGACGACTCGCAATGAGAAAAAGTGTGCACGAATCTGAGTATTTGCTCTTTGATGTGCAATCTTTCGAGGATTGCCTCGAGGGGAGTGGTGGTGATGCATCGGTAAGATGCTCACATTGGGATGATTTTGCGTGTTTAATATGGTGTACGCCATAATCAGGTCACCTCTGATTCTCCTGTAGCTCAGTGGGAATAATCCCAGGAGGTGGAGTCTATCGTCGTACGGTTTATTTTTCAACCCTATCACCCATTTGGTTGCTCGTCTCTGCACTCGATCCAAGAGATTTATGTCTCTTTTAAGCAGAGGGGTTGCGATGACGTTGTGAACCTCCAAGTGTGGGCGCGCGTACGTCTTAAACAGGGTTAAAAATAATTTCGGGGTTATAGCACCAAGCTGTCTTCGCATAAAGTGAAGAGTCGCATTTGCCTTGGCTGCATCCCCTACACAGTTTGGACTGGTGTGGAGGATTTCTGTGGTTATTAAACAAAGATCGCGCTCTGAGGAGACATTAGGGAGCGGACTTCCATTGAGAGTATAGGTCGTTTGCGTCATATGAGGCAGGAAATGCATCACTGGGCATTTCGGTTGGTTGAGTTTTAAACCATTTTTCACTGCCCATTTCTCAATAGATGTAAGGTCCTTTTGAAGCTCAGTCGAATCCTCTTCGCTTCTAATGGACCTCCAGATCTTCGCATCGTCTGCGTAGATCAATGCCGGTGAGCTAAGTGAGCCTAGCAGGTCGTTAATAAATATCAGGAAGAGGAGTGGGCCTAGGATGGTCCCCTGTGAAACTCCCGATGTGGATACTCTCCAACTCGCGTGCACTCTGTTTACCTTGGTGCGAAACTTCCTATTCTCAAGGTAGTTTCTGAGCCAAGATAGGAGTGGGTCAGTGAAGCCCATTTCCACAACCTTTTCGATTAGGCGTGCGTGGGGCACTGTGTCAAAGGCTTTTGCGAAGTCGAGAAATACTACGTGCACTGGTATTTTACGGTCCAAGCAGGATGTCCAACTGTCCCATGCGATGAGAAGATTAGATGCACACGACCTGCCTTTCCGAAACCCGTGTTGAGCTTCATGGAGTATTTTATTCTTTTCCATGTACTCCCTCATTTGTTCGTCCACTATCCCTTCCATAACTTTTGATAATATTGGTAGTAGTGCGACTGGTCTGTAACAGGCTGGGTCCTTTCTATCTCCTCCTTTGAAGATTGGAGAGAGAGTAGCTTGTTTCCATTCAGCTGGGAATTGGTGTGACTCCAGTGAATGCCTGAACAGGTTGCATAACGGTGAACCGTCAGCCGTCAGCTGGCATTGGGTTGGAGTAATACTCTGAACATGTAGGCACCTGGTTTAATTGATCAGCAAAGGTGGTGTTGAAGATCTCGGCCATCTCTAGGTTGGTGAGGTCTTCCCCGTTTGGTCCTTTTAGAGAACACAACCCTTGATTAGTAGGTTTTCTTTTGGACATGAACCTAAACAGATGTTTCGGGTTTGCCTCTATTCTGGCGGCTAGCTTCGTCTGGAATTGTCTCCTGTCGCTTCGAACTTTGGTATTGCATCTGTTTCTCAATGCCAAGTAAGAACTGCGATCGGAATCCTTCAAGGAGACCTTCCACTTGTGCCAGGCCTTCCTCTTCGCCTGCAGCAAGCGTTCAGTGACGCGCCTAACCCAGGTTCTTCTGTTCTCGCGTTTTTGGTGTGACTGAGGTACGTTGTCTACGACAGCGTTTTGGATGATATCTCTCACTGCTTGCCAGTGATCATCTACTGTCAGCCTCCACCACTCCCGTGGCCATGGGGCATGTAGGAGCACCTCTCTCATGCGTGTATAATTTGCCATATCGTAGCAAATATAGAGCTCGTTTTTGTCCTGTGTGAGTGTTTCGTTTATCACCATGTTACACAAGACTGTGCCATGGTCACTACTTCCTAATGGTGCGCGGACGTGAACATCCTCAACCAGGAGCTGGTCATTAGTTAACAGATAATCCAGGTTTCAGGACTTCCCTTCCTTAGTCCACCTAGTGGCACTGCGTACGTGCTCAGTCAGCCCAGAGCTTCTAATGGCTGTACCAAGTTGTCTTTGGAACCAACCAGTGGGAGTTATACTCTGATTGCTGAGATTTAAAGATGGGGTATTGAAATCTCCGGCTAAGAGTATTTGATCAAACCCTAGGAGTGGCTGTTGCAGTATTATCTCAATCAATTTGCTTTTCTGGGCCTTAGTACCCGAAGGAGGTCGGTAGATCCCTCCAATCAAGTATTTCGTGCCATTCGAGTGGAAACAACACCAACATGATTCTGTCACCTCAGTTAGTTGGGTGTCGTATAGTCGCTCTGCTTTTAAGTTGCTATATATATATATATATATATATATATATATATATATATATCGCCACTCCACCTCCAGTTTGGTGTTCCCTATCGCTTCGGAAGAGTGTCATGCCTGGTAAGCTCACTTCTGCGTCTGCAATGTCAGGGGATAGCCATGTTTCAGTTAGGATTATGATCTTCAGATCCATCTGAGAGCATAAATTCCTGATTTCTAACAGCTTACCCCTTAGTCCTCTTACGTTGCTATAGAGGCACTTGGTGGTTTGTCTCAGTACCTGGTGCACATTTGCAGCAGCAGACGTTATCGGAATTTCAGACAAGTTATTTAAACCGAGTCCGCCAGTTCTGTGGGAACTGGCCTCTGCAGGTTTTTTGCCTGCGCGGTTGGTTCACTCACATCTTGAGCCAGAGGTAGTTGACCGAGTTTAACTATCAGTTTCGTGCGTTCATTTTGTCCTCCCTGCTGTTGTCTCACAGATCTAGGTCGGCACTCGCGACATCTGATGTGGCTGGGCAGATCGTTCCTCGAACTGTACCAAGCTTGTAGTGTTTCGGTCAGGTCTTCTAGGTTACTAAATGTTACAGCCATCAGGCGTGGTGACTTGATGGACGTAAGGTGTGACGGGCGGGGCAACCTAGAAATGCAAACAGCCATCGTGGTGTGGAGGGATAGGCTAGGCGTTAGCCATCACCACTGTTGCACATCGTGCTCGTGAGCTTCGTCCGGGTTACCGCTGGTGAGTTCGGGTATACCGTGAACTATCATGGTGTAGAATCCTTTTTTGAATGTTTTGTTTTTTGGAAAATCCCTCCATGTTTACATATTTTTGCTATGACATGACGGATTTTTTCTGTTGACATTTTGGTATTTTATTTGATTCCAATTTGAGATTTTATCATTGTATATTGTTATTCTTTCTATATTTTGTACTTATATTGAAGTTTTTATGTTTGCTTCTGAACTGTATATACGTTGTTTAAAATTGATCTTTAATATGGCCACAGCCATATTTGGATTGATACTGTGGCGGTCGGATCTAACAGCACTTACCCCCTTCTATTCGGATACTCCTGAGAGTAATTGGGACTTGGAAAGTGCATCAAACTTCAGGTATTGATTTGTATTTCCATTTTTTAATATAATATAGACCGTTTTCTCCTAGAATTATTGTGTTTTTAACATTGGGTTGGGAGATAACGCGTTCGAATTGCACTTATTGGAAACCATTTGAACTGCTACGGTAGAAAATTTTTTTATACTTGGTGGTCTGTTCTTGAGTGTCTGGCGCAGTTCTGGCTGCTGCACGTACCGACCACGGTTTGTCATGCCTGATACGAATCAGTGAGGACAGTTTGACCGATGGTCTTTGGGACGAAAGGATAATGTCTTCAGCAAGTCGTACCGAGTCAAGGGTTACCCTCATTGAAGGGGGTTTTCCTTTCGAGACATTTCGGCCTTTGAAAAGGTGGCATATTTTGGCTGGGTTGAGCAGAGTTTATCACATTGCTCTTTGTCGAAGGCAGCCCTACCTTCTAGCAAGCTTCCTTCCGATACTGGTACATTAAATAAAATAAGTTAGTTAGATCTGTCGTCCCTGATCTTGGGTGGAAGCCGCTTGTGAGTTGGAGTGTTGCTCTTTCCCTTCTTCACGTTCACCCACTGTTTTGTGTTGCTGGCAGATACTGGGGGGTTAACAACAACCGGCAGTTTTGTCGGTGTGTTAGGCAGGGTTGTGGTAGCCTTGGTCACTTGTTTAACTGGTTTAGTGCTA